TTTATAATAAAATACTATTTATTTTATTTTTAAAAAAAATCACAAATATTTCACTCTCTAACATTGATATAAATTTAAGCAAAATATTACCTATGGAATGAGTTTAAAAGCCAGAAAATTTTTTAAATAAGACGAAGAGAAAAAAAAAATGATTCCACAAAAAAAAAAATTTTTTTTAATTATTTTATGAAAGAAAGAAAGAAAGAAAGAAAGAAAGAAAGAAAGAAAGAAAGAAAGAAAGAAAGAAAGAAAGAAAGAAAGAAAGAAAGAAAGAAAGAAAGAAAGATTTTCCATAAATCTGCATACATAATTACTTCATTTACCATTATGGGTAACTCAATATTTCCCCAATACCTCTTTTTCTGATCCATCACATTGCTTTAACCGTCATTTTTTTAAAATTTAATATTTGGCCGATACTTATAATATTGTTCACAGAGTTGTTAAAAGATGGAATCAAAAGATCGCCGATCCTGGATTCGATCCCAAATTTGTCAATTTTCTCGGATTTAAGATCCTGATTCCTTACCTTAAATTGTGGATCGCGTGATCTAGATCATTTTTTTTAAATATTCGATCCCGATCCTTTTAATATTTTTTTTTTACTTAAAAGGCAATTCCACCAGATTTTATATTTCGACAATTTACCAATTGATTCATAATATTTTTAATGATATTTTTTTTTAGCCGTGAAATTTTTAAACTGATTTTTTTTCCCCCGATTCACCCATAAAAACATGTTAATTATTAAAATATTTTCCGGAATTTAATGCTTCAAAATGGCCGTAATGTATCGCAAAAAGAATTTGTCAAAAGGATCTAAGAAATATTATCTTGGGCGGTTCATCCGGTGCAAAATTTTTGGAAGTATAAGTGATAATGCTGTATTGTATGGATGAATCATCAATAAAAAAATAATACTCTATCATACTGATCAGGCAAATATTTTTTATTTAGTCATCTTTTATTTACAGATTCTATGAACATCAAATCTCAATATTGATAGCAATCATTAAGACTTACACTAAAGAATTTAAACTTAAAATCAGCCACTACCCACCCTTAAAGTAATTAAATTATACTGAAGTTATCGGGTATAGGCTCTTTTTCTGCCCCAATCCTTTTTAATAAGCCTATAGAGGTTTATGTAACATTTTTCGAAATGTTGCGCTTACAAATACGTGTGGCTTGCCCACAAACGTATTTGAGGGCTCCTCATATTTTTACTTTTACACCCAAATTAAATTAGTTCCAATTAGATGGAAATGAGGAAAACCTAGCGTAGCTCTGTTGAACCTTCAATATATCACGTATCACATAAGTTATATTATTTAATTATATTATAATAAGATAAATAAATTCTAGGTTTTAATAATGTCCTCCATTATAGATTTAGAAGATGATACATCTACTTCTATTGATGTGACAGCAGATATAAGAATGAGAATCTTTTACCATTTCATAATTTACGTAAGTATTTTATAACTTTATGTGAAACGGATGAAAGTAATCATACAATGATCTATGCAAAATGCTCTTTGTGCAAAAACAAAATATTTTCTTCAATGATTAGCAATTCAAACCTAAAGAGGCATTTAGAAGTAATTAATTTTTTTTAAAAATTACAATTATTATTTGTGAAGATCATAAACAATATGCATATAATAAGAATTATTTATAATAATTAATAAAATATTTATTGATGTGTTAATCTTAATTATAATAATCAGGAATTTAAATATTATTAATATTAGCCCATTCTTAGCGTTGATATGAAAGGGAGACTAATATTTTTAATGGGAGTTGAAATTAATTTTTAGTATAAAATCCTCCAACCACATATAAATAATATACTTAACTTAATATATTTAACAAAATTTAGGTTGAACCCTTTATTCATTAGTTTTGAAATGCTAAAAAGCCTCATTTTATTCATATTATAGGAAAATATTTTCTCAAAATCTTTTGCTCATATCATCTTGAGCAGCTTTTAATGATAGACAATTTTAACTTGAATTTTTAAGATAACCTATATGACCCTTTTAACCACATGTAAATAATGTAAATTTGTGTTGAACCATTAATTCATAAGTTCTTAAATACCTAAAATGCCTGTATTTTACAATTCTTTATACTTTCACTATCAACGGAATGTATTTTATTTACAAATATATTAAACATCGATTTTTCCTTTACTTCTTTATTTTTTTTTATCTTAATGTCCAATTCGGGGTTTCGATGTATGTTTCTATTATTTTCGTTACCATTTAGTTATCTTTCTGGAAACTCTAAGGAACAGTGTTCCAGAATTCCTACATTTGAAATAAGTCATCATATTTTTATCACTTTACTCCCTTTGCTCCGATATAATATTCTACCCAATTTCTAACAGCATTGCACGCTGAGGTTACAAGCTTTGCCGTCAGAAATACTTCCCAATTTAACGTTTCACTTAATGTCCAACATTTTCATATCACTACTGTAATATTCTTCTAATATTTTTATTAATTCTATAGGCGGTTACATAAAATTTTTAACTATTATGTCCTAAACTTCCACATCTAGTATATTTAATCGGATATACATCAATTGGTGCAAATCTTTTGATTACAATCTCTGCTTATATGTCCGAACTCTCCACAGACACCGCATATTTTGTATATTTATTTTTGACCCATCCATTTAATTTTCCCTCTGATATATATTTACATATTTTCTTTATCACATATACTACATGTTATATTACCTGATTATTGAATCCTTTAGTATTTATTATACTCTATTATTTTTATAATATCATTCTGGCACTTGTAATCGATTTTTATTCTTCATATTTCCTCTTATTACGATTCCTTATGTCTCATAATTTTAATTATATATATATTCTCATTAGTTCAAACTATTCTCATTATTTACTTTGCATTTTTCGCTATGATAATAGCAAATTTGTTAGACGTCATTTATTATTTGTTCACCATAAATATATTTCTTTTTTTTATCACATGATAATTTTTTATCTGTAACTCTAATGATATTAATATTTCCAAAGAAATTCCAATTTACCAATTTAATATTTATCTAATTATCAATTTATTTCAATTATTTCTACATCCTTTTTTATTTACCTTTTTATATTTTATTTACATACATTTTTTATTTCAATTTCTTTTGGGATTTTTTTTTAAATTTTCCTTCGGCGTCAAAAGGTACATAAGAAATACAAACTTATTATTATTATGGAACCCATACAGTTGCTTATTTGTGGAATTTAAAATTATTTTACACTTTGATATGTTTGTGATTAAATATTCTAGATTTCATTTCTCTTTTTTTAAAAAAATTCCAAATTGGTATTTCTAATTTATTTTTTATTTAATAAACAATCACATAGTTTAAAAAATATATATCACATAAATTGAAAAATGAAAATACAAAAGAAGAATATTGTTATACTTAAAATTGCTTAAAATTTATATTGGAAAAGAAAATAATATTATATTTGACTGGGACTACTTTAAAGCAGGCACTTCTGATAAAACCCAAATAACATAATATTAAATACAAACTCTGTGTATGAAAGCTTTTATACCATCTCCAGATTTCTAAATTATTTATATTTTTATATGATAAATTTCTTAATAAATTAAAAACGAATTATTCGAATAATACAATTAAGAATGAAGTCTCTTCTATTTAATTGAGCATGGATGGATATTATAAAAAAAAAATATATATATAAGCAAGAAAAAGGATTAACGCTTAATAAAAAATATAAATTGAATTACTCTTTTTTTTTTTGAAATATTTAACATTTACATGCTTGCAATATTATAAGAAATTTTGCTAACGAAGATGATTCTAACTATGGTAAGGTATTTAGAGACCAGGCCTATAAACATTCCCAATCTCTAGAATAAAATTTTACAATTTTTTTTTAGATAAATTGAAATTAATATATAATTTATTAATATTACATAAATTATGCTATTTAATTTATTAATATTACATAAATTATGCTATTTAATTTATTAATATTACATAAATTATGCTATTTAATTTATTAATATTACATAAATTATGCTATTTAATTTATTAATATTACATAAATTATGCTATTTAATTTATTAATATTACATAAATTATGCTATTTAATTTATTAATATTACATAAATTATGCTATTTAATTTATTAATATTACATAAATTATGCTATTTAATTTATTAATATTACATAAATTATGCTATTTAATTTATTTATCTTGTGTCTAATATTTATATTTTTTAAAGTTTTTTATACACGATTCTCATTTTAAAATAAGCGCAGTCATATTATAGAATGAAAAAAGATGACATAAAAATATGACCAAAATTATAAACACATTTAAAAGTTGTCTTGAATAAAAGTTAGAGTTACCTCTGTCAAAAACTATAAATTACTTATTAAACTATTTTTAAATAGTTCGTAACGTAACTTTGACTAAAGATATTTTGTTACCTTCCATATAAAAAGTAAATTATTTCTAATAATGCAATAAAATAGCAAATTATTGCCGCTGTCATTCTTATTAGACAAATTATCTAATTTTATCAATTAAAATATTTGGTACAACAAAATATCTAATTATTATCTCTCAACAACAAAATATCGGATTGCTATCATTCTTGTATAACAACTAGTGTTGTTAAACGGCTCAATTTGAGACAATTTTTTAAAAATGGCGAACTCAATATTTTAGCCATAAAAATATTGTCTAAGCCTCGAGATTTCGTTAATTTCAAACCTTTGTGCCACATATGAGCAAAATCATAAGGCTTGCATAATAATTTTCCTAATTAAATATTTAGTTAGTCGTTTTTAAAAATCGGCTCAAAATGAGCCATTTAACAACACTAATAACAACATATGTAATTATTAGCATACTTGTGATCTTTGGCAGTATGTTAATCGCTGATTTATTTTCCACACCTTTATTAGCATTCATACAAACAAAATTAGAATTTAACAGCTGAAGTGCAATAATGCTAAAATTTACCAATATATTTAGAAAAATTAGCCTTTTAATTATTTATCTAATTATTATAACAATATTTACAATATTTATAAACATAATATATTTAGAAAATTTCAAATGTAAAATGCCAGAAGCATACCTATCTTTAAAAGAAATAGGAAAGTTAGAAGGTTTTTATTTACAAAATTGGATAAAATCTCAATTCAACAAAGAAGTTCTAAGTTTTAAACATTTATTAATGAAGATGAACGACAAATTGGAAGAAAATCATAAATACTTGCAGAATTCTCAAAATAAATTTGATCATTACACAATTTCTAAGTCAATATCTATAAAAAATTCTCGTATTAATTTAAAAATTTTAGTCAAAGGGAAAAATAATGTAAATATAATTATTTTGATTAATTAATTTATATTTTAAGATTTGAGTTATCATTAGTTTTAAACTAATAATGATAGGAACATATATAAAACTAATTGTGTTAATGAACTAAGAATATGTCTAAACTTCCTTATTAATTTACATTAATTATTTAAAAAATTTAATAATAGGTTTTTTTTTAAAATTTTTTTATATATATGTGCTATATTTTTATAATTAAATGTTTTTTTATATGACCTTGAGTTTAAATTAAGGACTAGGGGAAAAAATTCATTAGTTTTAATTCTTATTTAGAAAAATGCCAAATATTTTATAATATTGGCAATAAAAAAATCTTTCAAAATGAAACCACAATTATTTTTTTTTGAATAAGCCCAATTCTTATTGTATTAGGTGGCTTAGATAAGATCCAATGTATTTTATATTTATGTTCACCAAAATAAACCTGTACCAAATAGTTTGTCTTTCTCATTTCCTGTAATTGCCTTCATTTTAGTTTTTAACTCCTGGTTAAATTTTTTTTTTATTATATTAAATTATTTTAAGCCTCATTGGCATCTTTCGAAAAAGAAAGAATCTAATCATCAAAAGGAAATTCTTTTAATCTTAAATTCACAATTCTTATATTTATATGTTCGAGAAAGGCTCACTTTTTTTAAAATCATTTGCTTAGAGCAATTTATAAAATTTAACCGGAAATCCTATTCCAATATGTATAGGAGGATTTACCTAACTATTGATCGTAAATACATTCACTTTTCTGATTGGCTAATTTAAAATAGCCAATAAATTAAGATTATATCTAGAATATTGTTTTTTTTTTTAAAAAAATTGCTTGGAAATTATCAGATGTATATATATTAAATAAATGCAAGAAATCAAATAATTTTCTGTGTATAAATTCGTATTAATAAATCTTGACCTGGTCAAAAATACAATTAAAATCTTAAAATTGTGAATTTTAGACGATTTAACTTCGAACTGTTGGAAATACTCTTTAATTTATATCAGAGACCTGCAGGCCCAGCCTGGCCCATTATTAGCGATAGAAATCAAAAATAAATATATTTTTAAAAAAATGCGAGCCAGCCGGGTTGTGCAAAATCTATATAAAAGTGGATATAAATCAGAGGATTTGAATTTTTTACACATGTTAGAATAAGTTCCAGTTCAAATCAGATGTTTCAAATTATAAAAAATAGCTCCTCAGTAAATGATTGAAAATTGTGATACTCCTAATGAATATCCACATCTCAAAATGATATTATAATCATTACTAGAAATAATACCTTTAAAAAAAAAGAAGAAAAGATTTCGTGAAATAAAAATTTAGTTATTACTAGTGTCTATATTTTATCGGTGATTTTTTTTAAAACGTACAATTGATGTCATATCCGCTCATTCCCGTTCTAAATTGCTAAAAATTGTGACTATTGTTCATATCTCGTAGAAGTTTTTAAAGGTGATATTAATTAGATGGTAGGGGTTAGCTGATACTATATATTTCAATTGAGTTATTTTCCCCCCTAAAATCGCTAAAAATTTGGGGAAAGATGGCTAATATTCTTAATTTGAAAAACATTTAAGCTATTTTCCTCCGCCTCCCGCCCCGCTCCCTCATTAGGGATCAACTCAATTTAAATACGAGCACTTACTTCCTTAAACAATCGATTAATATTATTTTTCAATACCGCTTTAAAAAGTTTTTTTTTTATAGGATGATATAGTATAAAATTACCACTTTTTTAAGCGATTTCGAAACCTACCCTATTTTAACCCCATAACCCGCGAGTCTATGAATTGGCAAGAAAAATTGATATTGGTGCATTCCTCTGCTTAGAATTATTTCAAAGAAGTAAATCAGCTGTTTTAAAAAAAGAATCGAAGAATGTAGCCTAAGTTCTTAGATTTTAAAAGCAAATTAATTTGTTTTTTTTTCTTCCTCAATTCACCCCCCCCCCCCATTCTACTCCACCATGATTATCGTAAAAAAAAAACTTACCATCTTTTAGCATTTTTCTCTCTTTAATTGATCAATATTTTTTTAAATGCTTAGCTCACTTCCGGTTATCTAGACCATGTCATCGAAACATTCAAATATTCTGGTCACCAAATTATCCATGACCCAGCTGACGGGTGGCACATCTTGTGGCATCACGATTATCCATTCATAGATACCGACTTGGGACTAATGTCTATAAATCACAATCACAAGGTTTGCCTTTTATTTTTTTTTAAAAAAGGAAAAAATATTATTGTGGTAATGGGGGAAAAAAATAAATCCACCAGGAACAATAAAAAAAATATCCCCCAAAAAAGTATTATTTAATTATATTATAATCCAGATAAATCATTTTCCTGGCTCGGGGTTTATTACGAGTAAAGCCAGCTTGATGCGTTACGACGAAGCGGAAGGGTTGGAGAATAGACCGCGTTACTTGCCCTTAGCATTCACGTTGCCCAATCAGTTATCCCTATTCGTAGATCACGTAAAATATAAACATTATGGCGTTATTTATTTTATATCAGGAATAGGCTAGAGATCGTCACGAAACCACGCGTTTCGAAACGCGAAAGATAGGCTATTGTTTTACGTTGCGATTTGAATATTGATAAAAGAAAAAAAAATATCCAATAAAAAATGTCAAATACGTGTAATTGCAAAAAAAAAGAGAAAAATTATTTATAATTTTTAAGGATGGGCAGTTAATTCGAATTTTAAAATTTGTAAGGTAAATTGAAATGTTTAAATTGTTGAGAAAATTAAATAACAATTACATATGAAAACAATTATTTGAGGCAACAATTAGGACGGCCCCGCCCGGTTTTTGACCCGGCCCGGAAAATCCGGGCCGGGACCGCAGGTCTCTGGTACGTAATAAATTTTAGTAGTTATAACTGGTGAGATCGATCGAAAATGTGATGATTTGAAGAAAAACGAGTGTGGAGATTTACGTGTTTTTAAAAGAAAGAAAAATAATTTAACTAAAGTTCCATATCTGTTTTGAAAATGAGTAAATCGCGAAAGATTTAGAAATCTATTGGATCCGCAAATGCCCGGCCCGGTTCAGCCGGGAAAATCTTTAATGGGCCGAGCTGGGTAAGATAAAAAATTCGGGTCGAGTTGGGTAATCGTGAGTAAGAAGTAATAATCCATAAAGTATAGTTTTTTTTTGAAATTAATCACTCCCCATAGTCACTTAATTTGATGTTCAACAACATATATTTTGGTTTGGCTCTTTTATTTTTAAATAAAAATTCTGACAATTTTGCTATTTGCGGACCTCTACTAGAAACACAAAACAACCGTTGAATACTCTAACACAAAAAAAAAGTCTAAAAAAAGTGATTTAGGAGGGCTTATAATATTTGAGTTAAGTGATCACAAATTATGATTTAACTCCTCTAACAAGTTAATTTGTTTAAAAATTGATAGCTACATTTTACACTCCAAAATAGAGTTGGAGAAGAAAAAAAATGATTTTTATTAAAAAATATTATTTAAAAAAAAAATAGATTTAAATCAATATATATTTTTTTTTGATTTAAAAACAAATTTTATGATATAATTAAAATATCTTGTCCTAGATGTAAATAACCTCCTAGATATGGAAGCATCCATTCATTTTAGTACATCATTGAACAAAATCTATTTTTATGCTAAATATAAAAATTAACTATAGCCAAAGCTATATTAGACTGATATTTAATATTTGCCCCATTTATACTTAATAAGAGTGTTCTTAAATGACAATATTTCATCTAGAATAATATTACGCAAGCTTTAGGATTGTGTTCATAGGTGGAACGAAGGAGATCCATTAACGTAATCTCGATGATTAGATAATAATTTTTCTGGCTAAAATATTGAGTTAGCCATTTTAAAAACCGGCTTGAATCAACCTGTTTTATAGCCTAATAATTTTATTACGTTACATTTAAAATCAGTAATAAATAATTTTAAACTTGATAATGGTTTTATTTTATATTTATATTATTAAATCTATAATTTGCGAAGGAGTAAATTTTTATAAACTATCAGATGAATAAAAATTAATAATTTTTTTTTATATATAAACTTGCATTAATTAATTTTTTTTTTTACTATTCAAAATAATTGAATATCGATATACATAAAAGGGAAAAATTGAAATAATTAGATAGGTATTCTCCTTTTAAATTTAAAACAATAATTAAAATATATTTTTTATTTTAGGAGGTTTATTATTATATTGAGAAATTAACATAAAGGGATTAACAAGTATAAAATCATTTTTGTTAATTAATTTTAGCAATTAATCGTTGCAACTTATAATATACAAAATACAGTAAAATAAGATAATAATCAAATACAAGCAGATATTTTCTAAGATTTAAATCATGATTTTTATTGTAAAAAAAATTAAATGATTTTAATCACTCATTTAAATCGTTCTTACCCGTAACTCCAACACCACAAAATCAAGCTGAAGGTACATCATAACAGCTACCACAACGTATCATTCCCCGATTCCAAATACTATTGGGTGCTCAAGAGTAAAGACCACAGGGGAATAGAAATAATGGAGCCGGACCTTATAATGGCAAAGTATCGTAACAAGGCAACATCTTCCAACGAGGAAGTAGCGTTCGTTCAAACCTACATTCGCGATCCTTTACTCATTGACGGGCGGAAATTCGACATAGGAATGTACGTCCTGATAACCTCCTTGTCCCCCCTAAGAGTTTACGTTTATTGGGGAGACGTGTTGTTCCGTTTTTGCCCTCGCGATTACCACCCATTCGATCCGTCAGATAAAGACAAATACGTCATCGGCGATGATTACACTCCATTGTGGCAGGTTGTTGGAAGGGGTGATAGTGAATATTATTGTAAACAAAAAATTTCAGGCTGCTAATTTTTTGTTAATCTTTAAGAGTTCAAGGAGAAGGATAAGGTCCAGTTATTCCAGTAGTCTGACGCTAACATATTAATTATTATGGTCGAGGAAAATGAATCCAACTTGAAATTCCACCACTAAAAAAAAATATTTTGTGTTGGCTTTAACTTATTATCTTTTAAATTTATAGTCAGAAAAACAGTTTCACAACCATTTAACTAGAAATCGATTGATTAATAAGCTATAAAAAGTGGTTTTTCTTTAACATGAGGATTGGATACATTTTGTTAGAGGTTATTAAAATGACAGCAGCGTCACTAATACTCGGTAGAAAAGAGAATGTTCATTTGGAATAAAACTATTTTCAAATGTAACTGTCGGTCGTTTTCTTATGATTACTATATATATATATATATCTAAAACAGCTGTCTCTACTCTTAGACTAAGAAGAGTACCCCTAACCCTAAAGGTTAGGATATATCTCCTACCCTATTAGGGTATAACACACCCTTTAGTGTTGTTATATTCTAATAAACGGCTAACTTAATATAATATTCAAAAAAAAATATTAAGCAAGAACCTGTAGATTATTTTGCTAATAAATGACAAAGGTTTGGACAAATCTATTAACTAAATCTCGAAGCCTAGGCAATATTTTTTGTGGGTAAAATATTGAGTTAGCCGTTTTTAAAAATCGGCTCAAAACGAGCCGTATAAACATACACCAATTAAAAGAGGGCGATAAATTTAAAAAACTGGGCATTTTTTAAAAACGCGCGAATACGCCCAATATAGTTCAGAATTAAAATTCTAATCATTTAAAGATACCGTCCTTATCCGGTGATTACCTTAACCATTCTTCTACCTTCAAAACCGCCTTCGATAATTATTGCCGCGCGCATTTGCGCATAAAAAACGTCGATTCAAAAATATGGGCCCGCGCGAGAACCGTTATTGTTGACGTTTTAAAACGCAACAGAGCCAAAATGCTTTCCGCCAACCAGGGTTGGAACCAAAAGGGCGCGTATTTTGAGCTGGTGAGGTTCGACTTCGCGCTGGACTCAAATCTCGAACTCCATTTGATGGAAGTCAATATGAGCCCCAACCTATCGTCCGACCACTTTCCGCCCAACAAGAGACTTTACCTCAGGCTTCTTCACGACACCATAAGGCTTGTCCTGTCCAATTTCTACAACGAAGTCGAACGAGATGCTTCCTCTAGTGAGATTGATATATCGGTTAGAGATTTATCAGTTTTTCCGGATCTGTGCGCTCGTTATTGTCAAAACGTAACGCGTCCGAACATCGCTTGCCACCATCTTTGTACCGTAAACGGCGACAAAGTCGCGAAAGGTGGATTCATCGAAAGTTCTTATTTGGAACACCTCAATAAAGGTAGTTTCAAGAAGGTGCTACCCCTTCCGCCCTTAGAAAATAGCGACGAACCGATATTCGGCCTGTCATTTTGGGAAGGCGCCCTCTTCAATCGATCCATGGTCGAATCATTTTTCGAGAAAGGTTTTACAACAGATGGAGAACTAGGCCACAATTTATCGCACTTCGAAACAAATACGGGAATCGATACCGCGATAATTAACGACGTCGTCTTGCGAATCTGGTACTATGGGAAAGGCCTTCAGAGTGATGATAAATCATGGGGCGAGTAAAATTAAAAAATAAACAGGTGATCGCCTTTATTAAACATTTTACAAAAAAATATCTAAACATTCCCAATAACGCAATTAGTATAGAATGTAAAAATAATTATTATTCATTACCTAAATTATCAATGTCGTTTATTTTATTATTTTTTTAAAATAATGTTTAAAATGTGTTGGGATTTTCTCCCCCCCCCCCTCGTTTTCAGGTTTATCTGGGTGAATTAGTTTGCCCCTCTCCCTCTAATTATTCTTAGTTATATCATAATAATTATAAATATTTATAATTTATTTAAAATAACTTTTACAAATTTTAGACGCAGGCCACCATATTTATTTACTAGAAACTTCTTTTACTATTTTATTGATAAATTAATCAAAAATTAATTATATATTTATAAATCGTCCATGTAGCATTTATATATATTTTTTTTTAAAAACCCAAGTGCAACAAACCCAGTATTACAATAAAAATGCATTTTAATTATTATTTTTTAAATATATAAATACTTTTTTACAAAAATATTATTAGTGCCATATTTTATTCTTTTTAATATAACAAATATATATTATTGTATTTATTTTTTTAATATAAAAAAATATATTAATTTATTATATTTAAAAAAATATATAAAAGTTATCGTTCTAACAGCTTATATATATAAATATTTTTTATCGAAATAATTTGATTGACATAATGACAATTATGACTAAGATATTTATTTATTTTTTTTAAAAAAAACATAATATATATTAAATTTGGAAAATATCGTTGTCGTATAAATGTCACGCTTCTGGTGGTATACGCTTACGGTCGGCTTTTTTGAGGAAACCATATTCGTCAATTTTATCCAAGAGCGAACATATGATCGGAGAATCGACCTTAAAAAATAATTGAGAAAAATGGCATGTGTCAAAACTAGTGGGAATGAAATAATTATTCTAAAATATAATATTAAATAATGACCAATAGAAATTCAGATATATCATGTGCTCCACCAATAAAAAAGTAGTATCCTCTAAAAACCTAGTGACAAACTGTAATACTATTCGAAAAAAGTTGGATAATTTGTAAAGATGATTGATGTAATTTGAGGATATTTAGTTAGTAATATATTATTACCGAGAATACGTAATTGCAAATCGATATTTCGGATAGGTACATTGAGATGTAATTCGGATTATCCTTCTTGACGATGCACCTTTAAAATGTTAGGATTTTGGGCAATAATGATTTTAGTTTATTTATAGTTACTATTTATATCGGTAAATAGCACCCGTGTCGAAAAATAATGATTTGGGTATAAAAAAAAGGTTTAATGTGGAGGGACGGTCGTTCGGTCGGTATAAAAAGATATGAAAGAACTCCCGGTGTTGGTTTTTGGGTCCCAAATTATTACCAAAATGGTGGGCTCAATATGATTTGATTCAATGTATACGTTTAAAATGAATGAACCACCATCATAGGTTAAGTATTAATGTCATCGGTTTTTACCCCAAAAAGATTGAATGCTAAATTTAGCACTATCTAAAAAAAAAAATTTCTTCTCTCTTCAAAATTGGCGCTACTTACTGACCCGAACATGGCGTAAACAAATAAACGCAAAAATTTAAATTCGAACCTCAGTTTGATCGTCGCGTTTCTGGGAGACTTGACTTCGTCGCAATAATCTCCGCCAGAGTAATAATAAGTCACACTCGTTCTTCTTAAGAAAATTTGCGCCAAAAAAAAAATGAACATAATTGATTTGATTCCAATAATTTGAGATATTTTAATTTTTTAAAAAAAAACGCGGGGTATAAAAAAAGACTATTAAAAATGGGAAGAATTTCGACGCTAGTAAGAAAGAAATAAAAGGGAGTCACATATAAATAGTGTTGTTAAACGGCACATTTTGGGCCGATTTTTTAAAAACGGCTAACTCAATATTCTAGGCATAAAAATATTGCCTAAGCCATGAGTTTTCGCTAATAGAGATCCAAACCTTCGTTCCCTTCTACAGATAAAATCTTCAGGCATAAAGCAAAAAAAAAAGAAGTGTATTTATAACAAATGGTAATTATTGTTGTTAAACGGCTCGTTTTGGGCGACGACTAACTCAATATTTGGTTCAGAAAAAATATTACGCAACCCTGAGGATTTTGTTCATGGAAGGAACGAAGGTTCGGACATGTATCATCGAAATCTCCTGGCTAAAATATTGAGTTTAGGCCTATTTTAATAAATCGGTTTCAAAATCAACCGTTTAACATCGCTAAACGATAATTTGGTTATTAACTTCTGCTCGGGGGGAATTAGTCCGCTACTGGTTTTACCCTTGATCTTGAGTTTTTCCCTCTCGACCCAGGCCAAGTGTGTAGCGTGATTCCATTTACCCAGAGTCACGTTAGTCACGACGATTAAGCTGTCGCCCATTTTTTTCTTATTATCGATGCGGGTCTTTTTCGCGTTGCCTTCTTCGCTCCAATCAGGTTCGGAATCGTCGTCATCCGATTCTATCGCGTCGGCCGAGCTCGACTCTCGTTTTTTTTCCTCGTGGTATTGAATCAGGTGTTTCCAAAGGCAGAACTCGTATTTCCACCAACCCAGACCTCCCTTGATATAAAATAGATTTGATGGCCTCGATTATTGGCGGTGAGATAATAATGAAAAAAATGACGTTTAGGAGATAACTATCTAAATTTTAATTAATAATACACTTTTATAACCCATAAAATGAATATGGTGAATTCCATGACAAATTCAACCCCGGCCCCTTCAGATTTTTATAAAAATTTTCTATAGAGTGGTTGTACATTATACCTTAGAAGAGAAAAAAAATAAAATTTTAGCTTCCAACAACTCCAAAGAGCGGCTGAGATATGGGGCCTCTAAATTTTTGAAAATTAAGATTTTGAGCAAAATTACAATATCTTTGGACATAATTAAGCTAGAAGTGTCAAATTAAATTTCTTTGTTATTAGCCTAATGGTAGGCCTTTAAAGCAATATAGTTTATATTGCTTTCAAAAAAAATTTAAAACCGGAAATAGAAACTCGGATCATAAAATCCAATCGGCATTTTTTATATATATATATATACAGATCTAGGATTACTTAATAAATGCGCAAATTTTCAAGTTAGGCCAAACTCAAGGTTTAGAAGATATATCATTTTGATCATTATTCTATAGCAAACATTCTTAATAAATAAATATTCGTTGATATTAATCAATAATCGTAAATAAGTTTAAAATCTATCAAACATTTTAGGTTTTTAACATTCAAAAGAGTATTAAAATCTGGAAAAGTTTTTTTTTTGTTTTTGAGAAGGGGGATTTGGTAAATTTATTTAAATGAATTTCAATTTCTCTTCTCATAAAAAAAAATATAACTAAATATAAATTTTTACGATTATAATTTTTATATATTTTGTAAAATTGAATTAATCATTATTTTATTTTCCATGTGCATAAAAGAGTGAAACATTTGTATTTCCGGGAGTAGGTTTGACCTTTGGAACGATGATTTTTTTAAAAAAATAAATCCATCATCCTTATGCAAGATCTAAGGTGCTTAATATTTGATTCTAATATGGATGCTGAAGGCTAGCTCTTGTCGTAATATATTTAATAAAAACGTTTTATTTTTTATAAAAATCGTTAAGCTTTTTATTTTTTTTTAAAAGATGTAACGATTAAAATATCATAAGAGGGAGATAAAGTAACTAGTACCACAAAAAGTAACGCGTTTATTTAATAGTTACCCGTAGTATTACGCGGTTTGGGGGGGGGGGGGGGAAGGCTTTAGTAACGATTCTTTTTTTGTATCGCGTCGTTACTATACATATTTTTTTAAAAAATAAAGTTACTTAAAAGGGTTCTAAAACGAACACTAACAAAATAAAAAAAATATTTACCCCCCGTAGACAATATTGGCCTCGAACGAAATCTCTCTCGACCTTTGTCGACGCTAAAACATGGCTTTTGGAGGTAACGACGGATTTGTAAAAATTTTCTTGCCTCGAGCTCAGAAGTTTGGACGAGACTTCCAAATCTATCGAACTTGCGTGATCCTCTCGATCGACATCATGATTGACGTGAACCAATTCGCCTTTCTCTTTGCTCGCCATTTTCAGTTTCTCGTAACTGCTGAATTTTGGGGGTTTATTGATTTTCCTCGTGATTAAGCTATCCTCGACAAAATCGGTAGGACGAGGAGTTGGCTCGCTTTGTACCGTGCCTGGCATTTTCTGTATGGATTTAAGAAAAATATAATAAATATTTGGATATTTCCCAAATATTAAGACTGTCGCTTAACAGTCAATATCGAATCACGTTGGGTGCGTAAGCGATTGGGTGACACATTTGTCAGTTATTATATATATATATACACTGTAACGATTCCTACCACCGATTTACGACGAATCACAGACAATCCCTAACATATAGGGCACTAGAAAATGGACCAATTGCGTGGCACCTTGGTACTTGTCAGTTTTCGTAACTTAGCACCACCCATAATGTAGATCTTTTTACAAATTTTTCAAGAGAATTTATTGGTCCCACAGAAGAGAAAAGATCCAATCAAAAGGGGAGTATATTGTAAAATTCATTTTTTTTTTGCCGAGGAAGCTTTCTAAATACGGCTATTTTTACGTCTAAAAAAATGTTTTTACTGGAAAAATATATCGAAAGAGCGGTAAAATAAGGGAAAACTTTCCAAGTAAAAAAAAAGGGTGTTATTTCCAGTTAAAAAGGGAAGGAAGGAAGAAAAAAGAAGAAATGTTGTGATACTTGCCTATAAATCCAATCCTTATGTAATCATTCACTCGACCTTCTCACTCTCCTTAGCCCACCTTTAAATATAAAGAAGGAAAGATGGATCCAAAAAATGATTAGAGAAAAGCGCGCCAATTCATACCGATACAAAATATAATAATGTAGCGTACAATACATATATCTGTTTGGGGAAATATAAAGCAGAGATGGTACTTATTTTTTAATCCGAAAATGGGAAGAAAAAAAAATTAAATAGGTTTATTAGTTCTTCTTACCGATATCTGGGAGTTTATATAATGCTGAAAATCGTTTCTTTCCATGTCGAGCAAAGCTTTGGGTTTCATTCGATTCGAACCGTTGGAGTTCCAATCTCTTAGATGGTCCTCCACTTTGTCCTTTTTTCCTAGACCCTCAGCATACTTGGCCACGTTGTAGCAGTACACGGGCGAGATTTTCGCTTTAATTCTTTATGGATTTAAGGAGTGGAGGGGGAATTGATAAATGAAAAAATATTATTAAAGGGCGTCACTGGTTTCGGGGGAAAAAAAATAAGAATTTCTAAGATCCGGTATAAGTACTGAATCTATATTACAGCTGGCGAAACTTTAGGTCCATTTTCTCCACGATTTGATGATTAAAAAAAACTACTTTTATTTTTGTTCCAGCGCAACAAATTCTATGTTCCCGATGGGTAACCATGTTTACTTCACTCTAGAAATAGTTAAGAAGGTTACCCTAGTTAAAAGGTTGACCCGTTCCTAACCATTTGCTGTCCCAATATAAAAAAAAATTTTATTTTTCTCTAATTATTTTTTACAATATATTCTAAACATTCTAACACTATAAATAATATATTTCATGCAAAAATCGTCTATTTATTAACTCCTTCTTGTCACAATTTCCTTCTGCCAAAGATTTAATATTTTTTTATAAATAAATGTCATTTATCTTTTTCTTTCAAAAGATCGTTAACCCTATTTTGTATTTAAAAAAAAATATTCTAAGCATTTCTATTATTTTTTTCGAAAAATGAGACGGGCCCTAAGGATGCTAATCTCGGTCCGGCTCTGATAGTTCTAGATTTTGGTTCCTAAACTCCAATAAAAAGCGATTTATTTTAATGTAGTCCCAATGACAAATAATAATGCCTAGACTGACGATGCATTCATTAAAAGTGTTCCTGAATGAAAAACAGCTGGAGACGCCATTTTTATTATCCATATCATTATTGAAAAATTTTAAACGAGAGGCCAATTTATTCCTATGTCTGACGCAAATTTTATTAAAGAATTGTCTGATCATTCTCGAGATTATAAGGAAGCAAGTTATCAATTTAATAGTAGTTCTTAACATGAGAATAATTGCTATATCGATTAACCAAAATGGCGGGTACAGCTGATTTGCATTCAACGACGCTTTCAAGTGCATTATTATGAATGCATCGGCAGTCTAGGTATTATTATTATGTCATTGTGTAGCTCCCGGCTCGTATTGGAGAAAAAACTGTCACTTTTTTAAACCAGGTTAGGATTTTTTTTAAAATTCCGCTATTTCGAATAATTTTGAAAGTGTTATGGCAAACGATTATGAGCAGTAAATGAATCATGTTCTATTCTATGATTTTCCAACAACTCATTGATTGACATAATTTACATTTATCTTTCGAAAATCGACTTTTCGGTTAGTTGCGGGCCGGTTTCCGGGTATCTGATAGATAATCACTAACAATGATTAAAATTAAATGTAATCTCATACGAAAATTGGGGATGGTCGCATAAAAGAGGCGTGGCTATGAATAGCTTGTAATCGCATGTGGCCACCTCGCTGAAGTAATGAATTTGATTGACACCCTTTGGATCGCAAAAGTAGTAGACGGCGGTAGACCGATTCCCGTTTCGGAGCTGGCAAAATGTACCGTTCTCCAATTGGATCTTCAGGTAAGTTTTAGAGGAGCTCTCGAGGTTCATAGCCGTGTTGACGATCTTAAAAGTTTAAAAAATGTATGTTTTTTTTGAAAACGCGGCCAGGGTCCCTAATATATTTTTTTAAATGCGAAATTCCGGTCCGGTCCGTAAAAATAGTTGGCTCGAGTTGTCAGCCATGCTTCCGGTCGCAAGGAACCTTCTATTAGTTCTAGCGGGTTCGAATTATGTATAGTTACATTTAAAAAAAAATTTGACTTAAAAAAATGGAAATGCCTTATTATTTGGTTTAAGAAAGAGTTAACTTAAGAAAAATTCAACCAATACCCTCGTAGCATGTTTATAATGTATATTTTTGATTAAAAATGGCTATTATTTGATTTAAGAAAGAGTTAACTTAAGAAAAATTCAACCAATACCCTCGTAGCATGTTTATAATGTATATTTTTGATTAAAAATGGCTATTATTTGATTTAAGAAAGAGTTAACTTAAGAAAAATTCGACCAATACCCTCGTAGCATGTTGATAATGTATATTTTTGATTAAAAATGGCTATTATTTGATTTAAGAAAGAGTTAACTTAAGAAAAATTCAACCAATACCCTCGTAGCATGTTGATAATGTATTGGCTATTATTTCGTTTAGAAAAGAGTTAATTTTTTTTAAAAAATATTAACCAATACCCTCGTAGCAATGTTATTCCCAGACAATACCATATCGATCGATAAAAATAATATTAAATATTTATTTTTCTTTAAAAAAAAGAAAGAAATTCAAAATGTCGACCAATTTTAAGGGCATTTCCGTTTTGTCAGAACTTTTTTTTATTTTTTAAATCTGCACATTGTTTTTATATTCTGACGTATTTTAAATGTAATTTATTTTTAAGGTCTTCATCCTTTTTTTAAACGCTCAAAAAAAAACAATTAAGGTTCTAAATATTGAAAAACAAATTTCGAATAATTAACGGATTCCCGCCGAATCTGGTGGGCTCATATGTGCTCATTCTTATCATCGCCGATAGCCTCCAGGTTTATAGGATACTGATAAACTCCAGGATATTCTGACTTCCTTAGTTCCAAGCAAACGACCAATTATTAGATCATGCAAAACACCATCGGTAATTAAAATTAGCCAAAAAGAAAACTTTTTCATAACACTTTTATATATAAAAATCACATTACAATTACACAGATCTTCTTCCTAGATATCGATACAACTTCTACAGTTTGTTAACAGGACATGAATGGCTGGAAGCCCTGATCAAGGTGAACAATTGAGATTAATGTCTAGGATGTTGAGTACTTCTAACTACGTAAACGAACAGTTTAAATGTAAAATATATTTGATGTACTCTGAGGGGGTTTGAACCAAATTGCATTTGGAGTAGATACCAAAGTAATTTCACTATCGATATCTGACATCAGCCTGCGCCTTATAGCAGCTCATATCATATACCAAACATTCTAGACCCGAATAATCTATTATGATCAGAATAGACTGACTATGATCCCTTAGAAAGTCAGGAAAATCCCTTACTTTAGACATCTATAGCATCTCCCCATTTCCGTAGGATAAAAATAATAATAAAACCGAGTAATAATCGAAAAAAATAGAAAGACAAAGAAAAAATTTACTCATATTTTACCTGCCATCATTTTTTAAAAAATCTTTTGGCAATGAAACGAATGGAATTCTTATCTTTTAGAAATATTTGACCAATGCAGTTTGTTTAAAAAATCTTAACTCAAATTATGTTATTAGAAGTGAAGAGATTGAGCAAGATTTTTTTAGATAGCAACTTATGCGTGGGGTATCGATTCGATCTTGTTAGATGGGCATTTTTAAAAAGTATTTCATATTTTGGGTCTTGAGTGGAATTCCCGCAAATTCATAATTTTCCGGCGACTTCTGGCCCGGGTTAGAATATATTCACCTTAGACTTTTCTAATCGATTACCTATCAAATCAGTGCGGTTTAAGTTAAAAAAAGTCGGAATTATAAATCAGTTATATCCTCTTTATTTTCTATAAATAGTCATAAACACTGCATATATATTTTTTTTTCTTACAAAAGTGTTTATTTTGTCAGATATATTGGCATAAGAAGCAAAGGCATCGATATGGCTAATCTTCAAGGTAGGAATTCTATAGTTGATCAAGGTGTTAAGGGGTTCATCCTTCGTGTAAGAATCTAACGACGACAAAAGAGTGATCTTGATTTCCTCCGGCTGAGTTTTGATGATGTGAATGTGGTCATCTGTAAGAAATAATTTGTTTTTATGTATATTATAAATATATATAACATGTGGACAGTCAACTTTTCTAATAATAGCATACTAGTAGCAAATGGGAAGAGGGATTGTATTTTTACAGATAATCATATTTTATAAATTCTTTTTCAGAGATATAAATTTGATTGAATTTAAATCTTTTACCTATTGAAGGATTTGTTTTTTGTGTGTTGAGAATTTGTGTTATTTAAATAATATATATATTTTAAAAAAAAATTTAGTATTCCTAGATTGATAACTCTGTTTAATTCCTAATTCAATATGATGTTATTTTATAAAAATTCTCAAAAATCTGCGATAAAGTTATATCTATAAAAATATGATAATTTTATGGTTACAACCATAATATTTAAAAAAAATTAGTATTCCTAGATCGATAACTCTGTTTAATTCCTAATTCAATATGATGTTAGGATAAATCAATTTTATAAAAATTCTCAAAAATCTAAAGTTATATCTATAAAAATATGATAATTTTATGGTTGCAACGAAAATATTTAAATAAAATTTCATTCTGAGACTCTATCATATATGACTTTCTAGATCATTAAACACTAGTCTAAAGAACATATTTGTTAAATTTTCAGAACTTTAGTAATCAGGTTTTTTTTCCCCCTTTGTTCTAAAACTTTTGAAATAGGCTTTGGGAGTAACCTAATATAAAATTAGTTATTTTAAAAAGGGCACAAGAAGTTGGTAAGAAATCTGTGAACTCATTCATTTTAGAGATGAGATTATATTAGTGAGAAAAGTATCTTAACAGTTTTCTTCAAAAGTTTCATAACCCATAAAATTTATTGTTCTTTAAAAAGTAAAATAAAATATTGATGGTTTAGACATTTACTTTTATGTGTAAAATATATTCTTTTTCCATGATTTATGATAATTTTTTTTATATAAAATAACTATTGTATTCAATAATAGGTTTTATTAACATAATTTTTTACAAAATTTGCAATAAATTATAGGGGCTACTCCACCCAGTCAAAAAATAAGCTAATTGCTTATTAGTTTTATAACTTTTTGGGAGAAATAAAAGTAATGGCACCCCAGGAAGGTCTGTTGTAGCTTAACTCTGTTTATTTTTATAAAAAAAATGCATCAAATATAATCATTTAATTAATAATATATCATCAAAAAATCATGAAAGGATAAATTAAAATCCATTTGTGCATAGTTAAGCAAGACAGATTTGGGCCTATTAAAAAGCATTTTAAATGGGATACTTTTTTAAAGGGGGAGGGGGGTGGTTAAAAATTAAATTTTTAATTTAGATGAACCACAAAAACTTGTCTGTTGCAAGATTCCAAGAAATTTAGTAATAAAAATATATAACCTGATTGATAGATCAATTCTTTGGGGAAATATCCAAGAATATATTCTTGTTTATCAATCTAAAAAAAAATTTTGGTTTTATTTATTAAATTAATATTATTAATATCAAATATAGTTAATATTTAAGAATAATTTGTACACTCAATAAGTGATTAATTATATTTTAATTTTTAAATGTGTATATAAATAATAAAAATTATAATGTAAACTTTGTTTCCTATTTTTTCTTCATGATATTGCATAAAAAATTTCCCATGGCATATCTCGTAAATCCAAAAGCTTTCAATCTATAAAAATCTATTTATTTATTCATATATTTATAAAAACCTTAAAAGAACATATTGGTTGTATAAATAATTTTGACATGTATGTTATAGGTGATTCATGTTTTATTTCTGACTTATTCTAATTGCATATTATATTAAAATTTATTGGTAGATAATATTTACCTCAAAGATTCTCATTTCATCAATTAAACAATTATATTCCTCATTATGAGGTGTTCTCATCACAACTACATCATTTTTTGAAACAATCTATATTATTAATAAGATATGTTTCACTGTTAAAATTTACTTTAGGTAATATATGTGGTATATCCCATTTGATATCATATAATGTTTCGTCATTTTGTTCATATAAGCCAAATATTAAACATAATAAGAAATAAATAATTTTTATTTTTAGCATTAATTTAAAAAATGAAAATAGTATTCATAATTCATATGATAAATATATCTAACGATATCCAGTCACTCATCGTCAAATATCTTGTTATGAAGAAACAAATTCAAATAATTGAAGTGTTGAAACTGTAATCAGGTTTATTTATCGATTCGGATCGAATGATCATGATCTTATCAAATAAAAGGATCAAAATTCAGGATCTATTTTTTTTAAGGATTACGATCCTTTTCATATTTAATATCTGAAAAAATTTTATCCTCGATGCAAAAAATTAACTAATAAAAAATAAAATAAAATAGTGTAAATTTATTGTAATAAGATAATATAACAAGAATAACATAATTATTTATTAAAATTAGTCTTTATATATTAACAAAAAAATCCAAATTATTATATCCACGTCTTCATTAGGAGAATGTTATTCTACAAAACAAGCGCTCCGATGGCGAAGGTGTTATATTCAAGAAAAAAATTAATTTACATAGGTATTAAAAATATTAATTAAATCATCATATGAATAAAAAGAATTATTAAAGAAAGTCATCCAAACAAACAATTGAATAATCTGCATGTGGTATATCCTACAGGTTTTCCAAATGGATAATTTTTTTTACTAAAAAATTTAGCGGCAGATTGATAATAGGTCAATAAAGCTTGAATTTTGGGTGAATTATAGCTGCTAATATCATACCATACTTATACAATGAAGGAAATCTATATGTTTTAAGAAATTTTAACTAACATTATTATAAGCAGCTGAGGAAAAGGTAAAAGGTTCTTATTTATATCTGTCATTTCAATAATTTTATATGCTTATCTTCTAGATCTATAATAGTGTAGAGGATGTGGGACTAGACGATTTGGTGCGAGGTTCGAGTCAGTAAAAATATATTTTATTAACTAACTTCTTTTTCTTTTCTTAAGGTATAAATACATTTTCTAAAATATAAATTAGAATATAAACGAAATACAAAAAAGTAAAATAATATTAAAAAAGTAAGGTTACGCCGTTTATAAAATAAAATTAGATTATAACAAAAAATAAAATTTATATTGTAATTAGAATAATGCAACATTCTCCCTCTTCTGATAATTTCATCGGAGAAGTCATAGAGAGTTTGTTGTCCAAGTGGTTTATCGTTTTGGTAATCAAGTTGTATCACAAATCATCATAACGTTGGCTTGTCCCAATCGTTGGTTTGATCAATTCGATTTTGCACGTTGGTTTGTTTAATCACAAGCTTGATATCCATATCGTAAATTGTCTCCATTAATCATAGCTTGTTTGATAGTACTCAATTGTTATTATCATTTTTCCGAAATTGTTATTATCATAAATAAGTTGCGAATAAGAAATAATAGTTCACCATAAGAATAAATGAAGAATGATAAATCAATAAGATTGTTATATTTTTAGCGTTTTAATTTTTTTTAATGACTTTTATTTTTTTCGCGTTTTAGTGTTTAATTAATTTTTGCATTTTAGTATTTAATTTATTTTCAATCTCCGAGGTTACAATATGAAAATATTATGCACCTTTCCCTCTCTTAAAAAAAATTTAAATTTCACACAATATTTTTCTAAAATTGATGTTTAATTTTTACATAACCTTTTGTCTTCAAAAGCTTTATTTCAAAAACATTTTTATCATATTAAGCATTACTTATAAGGGTTATTTAAATCAATCCCTTTTAATACATATGTTTTAAGTACATTTTAATATATTTAAAATTAAAGTTTTATCTTCTTGTTTAGGATTTTTAATGGTTGTATTTAATTATATCTAAGAATTCATCTTTAGGTTTAGTTGTTAATTTACAACAATTGGTCATCATTCAAGAAATCAAAAAATATCAATAAGAGTTTAAGTAAATAATTTTTTTAAAGGCTTTTTGTGTGGTCTATATCCATTATGATTTTACATTTTAGTATCAATATTTCACTAAGAAATTATAAATAATTTTTTAAAGGCTTTTTGTGTGTTCAAATATATCCATTATGATTTTACATTTTAGTGATTTTAAAAAATTTATAACATGCCTTTATCCTGGCATAAAATCTTAATATAATAACTTTTCTTCTTACGTGAATTAGAATATTAAGTAATCATCATTGGTCTCACAATATAGAATTCATAACCTAACGTCCAACTTTCATTATGGTTCTTTCTAGGTTGCCACATTAGGTTAGGTGCTGGCTATTATATTCCAGTCCAACATCCAGAGCCGGGACACCATGAAGAAAGAAGCTTTTTGCATGAAAGAACGTGCTAAGGTTTGATTCTTGGTCATCTCCATAGATAAGACATTGGTCATATCAATATATTAGGCAGTCACAATAAATAAGGTAATAATAGGTAGTCATCTCCATAGGTTAAGCAGTCTCCATAGGTTAGATAGTCATCTCAGTAGATTAGGTAGTCACAATAGATAAGGTAGTCATAATAGGTAGTCATCTCCATAGGTTAAGCACAAGGTAGAGTCATAATAGGTAGTCATCTCTTTCTAGTCCACCACCCAGAGGGCACCATGAAAAGAATATGGATGGTGACGATATGGTGCGAATCTTAAGGTCGTGAGTTCAATCCTCACCCGGGGCACCATGTAGAGGATGTGGGACTAGACGATTTGGTGCGAGGTTCGAGTCAGTAAAAATATATTTTATTAACTAACTTCTTTTTCTTTTCTTAAGGTATAAATACATTTTCTAAAATATAAATTAGAATATAAAACGAAATACAAAAAAGTAAAATAATATTAAAAAAGTAAGGTTACGCCGTTTATAAAATAAAATTAGATTATAACAAAAAATAAAATTTATATTGTAATTAGAATAATGCAACAAATAGACATTAATAAAATCCAAAAATAATTTTATTTTTAATTCAATAAATAAAACTTGTAGATATGTAAGTCAAATTCGTAAAAGGTGTTTTGATAAAAATTATGAGAAAAATATATAATACCGAAGGATCCTAAAATATAATAAATATAAATTCCCGATAACTAATAATTGTGTAGATGACAGAAAATTCTTTGAATCTATATGCCAAATCTCGAGGTTTACATCTTATTATTTTGGCTAAAATCTTAATAGGGTCGTTATTCTCCACCCAAATTGGGCTTTTTAACAATACTTTAAATATTTCAAATTTTTAAAAGGATCGATTATTAAACAAAATGATCACGATTCTCAATTTAAGAGAAAATCATATATCCGGCTACATTGCCATGACTCCAGTTTGGGTTTGTGTATATTTATATATGTTCTAGGGATTAAATAAGATTATGGTTAAAATCAAGAACATTATTTTTAATCACGTGACCTGTATTTTACAAGTTATTAATAATTTATTAAAAATTATTTATAATATATTTATATATAAATTGTTGTAGCTGTAGAAAAAAAGAAGGAATAAATTTAATATAATATATCAAATGTCAGTTATTTTCTGACAGGTGAATTAGTGTTTCCTTGTAGATGAGAGTGAAACATGGGTTTTGGGTAAAGAACAATGGAAGTTTCTTGGTGTATGGTTTGGAGTGAAGAAAACATTATATTGGATGAAGCCGGGATTGATCATATTTTCAGATATTTATATTTGTATTAGATGAAGCGGGATTAATCATATTTGTATGAATAAATTGGCTAGATATTTGTGTGAATGAATTGCACTTTTAAATTATATGGGAACTTGGACTATTTCTAGTTGGTGTTGTCTATTGTGGGTATTTATTTAATTATTAGAAAAAGATTGTTTTGTATTGTTAAGTTATATTTTTAGAGGGAAGGGTTGAGAGTAAGGGACATTCTTCTATATAAACATATATATATTAACCCTAAAATAAGCGAATCGAATAATTTTACTATATTCGTACGTTTTGATTGACTCGTTATTCGTATTCGTACGATTTGGTTGACTCGTTATTCGTATTTGTACGATGATTGACTCGTTATTCGTATTCGTACGATTTGATTGACTCATTATTCGTATTTGTACGATTTGATTAACTCATTATTCGTATCCGTACAAATAATAAAATCATTATTCGATTCAGCAAATATTCGAAAATTAAATTTTCTTTAAGTTTACAAAAAAATAAATTCTGTTTTGTAAAAAAAAAAATATGCGTAGATGTGGATGTTGCGTTTTAAAATACCTTTGAGAATTCTACAAAACTAATCAAATTGCTATCAGGGTATTGAAATTTACAAATAATAACAATCAAAATAAAACCAATTATTCATAACGTTATCCAAATAAAATCACATCCGATGATTAGAATTGCTTATAAAAATATTTATCTAAGACCTTTTCTTTACATTATTTCTTAGAATCATAATAAACGTCTAAATTCATTTTTACATGATATTTTATCGGTTTTAAAAATAAGATTTTTATTATTTTTATTATTTTTATTATTATATATTTATTAATTTATATGCTTTTAAAATATAACCATTTTTTCTTTTTTATAGTTTTTATAATGCTATCTTAATTCTTCAAATAAATTCATTAAATTGCAAGAAATGTTTAAATTTAAATCATTATTCACTAACCCTGCACAACATGATCTCATTCAAATATTTAACATTTAAATCATATTGAATTAATAAAATATATAATTCAAATTTGCACTTTTTTTAATTTTTTTACTTTAGAAAAAGTAAAATAATTTTATTTTAAGGAATAAAAAACAAATGTGGAAATTGGAGAAAATAATCTCAAATATTTATTTAATTGTGTCAAATTTTAAGTCTCGAATTTTAATATTTTCTGAGATTATAATTATTTAAAATTGTGTCACCTATTCCACCTATGTAGAGAAATGTTTTTTAAAAATAATTAATTAAATTATGTATATATGTTTAGCGTCGATGTGTCTTTTTCCCCGCCAATATGTTATTTTTTACAACTTTAAAATCATTTTTTGAGCGCGTTTTTTTTTTAATATTTAAACATCGGAGGAAATATATTCTATCAAGTTTGGAATACTACATATCTTATGAGTTGTAG